TGTGAGTTCTTCACCGGCCAACACTCGGTCCCATACAACATGGCAGGTCTAACCACTGCTCTATAAAACTTACCTTTTAGTAATAGTGGAACTTTCTTGTCACAAAGGACTCTCGTCGCTAACCTCCACTTCATCCACCCCACCCCTATACGGTGCGTGACATCCTCGTCGATCTCCCCGATCCCCTGAATAACTGATCCACGATCCATTGACTAAGGTTGTAATGTTAATTTCATTGTTGTGCTTTATATTTATATTGTATGTCTATATATATAGTAGCCAATGTATAATTTCATTCATTAAGGTCATACGTATCGGCCACTAATTATTCATAGAAACTATATAATTCCATTGACTAAGGTTGTAATGTTAATTTCATTGTTGCACTTTATAGTTAAATTGAACGTCTATATATATATATATATATCGTAGTGACTATATAATTTCATTCATTAAGGATATATATAGTAGTGACTATATAATTTCATTCATTAAGGATATATATAGTAGTGACTATATAATTTCATTCATTAAAGTCATATGTATTTTTACAATATTATTGTAGAATATCAATATACTATATTTTATTGGTTAATCTTAATTATAATTATTATATTATACTAAAATCATATTACATGGCATTTTTTACCCCTCTTATAAATAATTATCCTATTATATTTTTGAACCAAATAGTAATTAACTTTCCAAGTAAATGAATCAATTGAATCAATTTAATGGGAAGTCAACCACTGGATTAATGCGGCAAGTAAGAAGAATTTAAGGATCTGCAAAAAAAATTCAATGCAGACCCAATCAGTCATCTCAATCATCTAAACAACACCTGTGAGCATGTGTTTTTTTTATCTTCTCTTACATAATATACGTAACGTGGCGGGGTTATATTAGGTATATACGATTGGATATAGCGCATTGGGAGAATAAANTTTTTCTAAACTTTGGGTCAAATGTATTAGATCATTTCTCCCAATATATAATGAGTTATGGGACCCAAAACCTATCAAATTGAAGTTCTACAAGTGTAGTTCACAACCAAAAAAACCTCACATCAAACGGACATTGGAGTAAAAGGTTATGACTGTTTTACCCCGGACTGTCCAGGCTGAAACCGGGTCGCGAACCGAGTCGGGTCAAACAAGTGGTATAAGTCGGAAAATCCGACTTGTAAGACCCCAAAACATTTAATTTTCGTCCCAAAACAGTGAGGGAGCTGAAGAGAGGGTTCCATGGTGTTCTTGAGTGATTAAGGTACGTTTTTAACGATTTCTACCGTTAAAGTTTGTCCCCGTGCCTAGAAACTCAATCTCTACGCTTTGCAATCGTTTCCCCCTTCTATTAGCTGTGTTTGGAGCTATTTTTGGAAGATAGGAATTTGTTGTTCTTGCTGGTTCTTCAGGATTTATACTTGATTTTCCAAGGCAATCATCTTGGGACTCTTTTATGATCGTTTTTACAAAGTTCTACAGGCGTTTCGTCAAGTTAGGGCCATATGGAAAATCTGCCAATTTAAACTCAATTATGAACTAGTTATAGGTGCGTATAAGCTACATATATATAGTGTTTGCGAAGCTTAGGACGTAAGGAACAACTTTTGTGAAGGAATTACAGGCATTCGGACGTTCGTCGGAAAGGTATGTTAAGGCTAAGCTCCGTTCTTCCTTTTTGCACGAATTCTTGGAAATTCCTAAGACGTCAAATGTGATATTTTACTATTCTATTGCTAGAAAGACCTTCTGTGAAAAGCATTGGGATCATAGCTGAAGTATTTTCATGATGCTATTAGGTTGATATTCCACTCGTTCGGTTAATTAGGGTATTCGACATCTATATATGTCATTTTGTCGGTTTTCTTATCCATATGTCTATATATATGAATTCTTATTCGTATTTGGGTGACTAAATAAAATAAAGGCATGTAGTATTTACGATCATTCCTTCTTCCTTGTTAAAGTATATTTTAAAATCTCTAAAGTGACACATCGGTTTCCAAAAATCTCAAATATAAATTTTACGTTTAAACTATTAAAACACTTGATTTTTGATATACTTTCCTTTACTAATTATCAAGAAATCAGGTATAAGGCCTAAGTGAAGCACCTTAAGATTTTTATGAACATCTTCAGAGTTAAGTTATCTTTCTAAAAGTCGAGTTAAGTTTTCAAGCTTATTTAATCAAAAAAAACACATGAGGTTCCACGAGACAATTGTATGCGATACAAAGGTGATTATGAGATTATAAGAATAAGAGTACCAATGAGCTAAGATAGGCTCGGTTCTTGTTATGGCCTATTATGTGCATTCAAAGTTCACATCATACATGGCATATTATGCATGGACTTCGAGCTATAATCGGAGGTAAAGGGCCTATTTGCCCGAAAAACTATATATATTATACAGATGGCCACAAGTTAGCAATATGATACCGGTTAGCTATCGGGAGAGACCGCCATTGCTAGCATTTGGTTGGGTATGTCATGCATTTGCATCAATAAATATGTATTCACGACATATGCTTACACGAGCATATTCTGCATAATTGATTATTATGAGGTCGGATGTCGGTCATGGAGGCTATAAGAGTTTCAGTGTCAGGTGGTTTCACTATTATTTTTTTTACATCAGCTATGTATGATTCTACTTTTTGCCTTACATACCAGTACATTTGTATTCATACTGATGTCCCGTTGCCTGGGGACACTGCATTTTTTTTTCCTTGTGTGTAGGTCCAGGTACGGACTCTGATCGACCCCTCCGCTAGGATTTCGGGGTTCAGTTGTGAGTTGGTAAGCTCCACCTCTTCCTGGAGCTTTCATAGGATGGTTACTTTTGTGTACAGATTGGGTATAGTTGGGGCCTTGTTCCGATAGTGCTTATGACACTCTTAGAGGCTATTGTGGACACAATATTCTGGGTTTCTTTTTGTAGCTTTCAGTCTCCAACCCCTAGGCTTGGCATGTATATATATGTGTGTAGGCATGTATGTCTCCAATCGCGGCCTCGTCGGCCAGCTAGTACTTTATTATTTTGGCTCGTCTACCTTTGTTTATATGGCTTATTGTTATTCAGGTCATGACCTTAATGGTCCAGGCTTAGTATTTCAGATGTTGTGCTACCCGATCTGTTGGGCCCCCAGTTTAGTTAGCTAGTATGTTTAGTGGCTAACTCGATCTAATGCACTATCGAGTGCTAGTCGTGCCTCCCCTAGTTTGGGGCGTGACAAACTTGGTATCAGGGCAGGTCGTGTCCTAGGAAGTCCACAAACCGTGTCTAGTAGAGTCTTGCTTATGGGTGTGTTATGTACCACACTTATAATCAGGAGGTTATGAGGCATTTAGGAATGGTTATGTTTCTTTCAATTAATAGATCGTGCTATGGAGCGAAGTTATAAGAACATATGAAATCTAAATCGTGCTTTGTGTTTCTTATCTTACAGGCTACCTACGCTCAGGAGATGGCACAGCGAGAGATAGGTATGAATCCGGGGGAAGGTACTAGTCGTTTCCCACCGGGTCAGAGGGATAGATTTCCCTTAGAGGCACACAGTGAGTCTCCAATACCCCTAGTCTCAGCTTCCCCAGCACTTGTTGGAGCCCAGGGAGATGCAGTAGCCCCAGCCTCACCAGTTATATTAGTACCTGAGGCAGCTAGAGACACAGGACCTCTAGCACCCGTTGTTCTGCCATCAGAGACTGGGGAGCACGGGATGAGGGAGACAGTTCAGTTGCTGACTAGGATAGTTTCTATTCATGAGCGACCGCTAGAGTCGGGAGCAGATGCCCCGAGAGATCGGACAGGAAGCTCGATGGTACGAGAGTTTCTTCGCTTGTCCCCTCCATTATTTACAGGATCCAGTGGGAACTGAAGATCCCCAGGACTTTATAGACCAAATGTATAGAGTATTGAGGGTGATGCATGCCTTTGTCACCGAGGCTGTGGAGTTTCTTCTTTTCGACTACGTGATGTAGTCGTCCTATGGTATGAGGCATGGGAGAGATATAGAGGACCTGATGCTCCGCCAGCAGAGTGGGAGGACTTCTCTAAGGCTTTTTTAGCCATTATTTGCCATGGGAGGTTTGGGAGGCCCGTCTTGACCAGTTTCTTAGCCTGAAGCAGGGGGATATGAACGTAAGGGATTATAGCCATAAGTTTAATTCTTTAGCGAGGTATGCACCAAATATTGTACGTACCATGATGGCTAGAGTTCATCATTATGTGGATGGTTTGGGGGATCATCTGATTAGAGACTGTAGGGTAGCATCCCTATCGGATGATGTAGATATTTCCCGCATACAGGCTTTCGCTCAGACTCCAGAGGATCTTTCCCGTCGGATTCAGGATACTCGCAGGGATAGGGAGCAGAGTAAGAGGGCTCGTACTATGGGGTCTTATAGGGAGCCACTGGGTGATTTCAAGCCCCCACTCCATCGATATCCACCTCGATCAGTAGGAAGTTTCCCACCACAGATGCAGGGCCAGCGGTTTGATCGTTATATTCAGTCAGGACCGGGGCAGAGCTCAGGCCAGCCTGAGAGCCGTCGATAGGAGCGTTCCGCACAAATGAGACAGCCTATTCCTCCATGTACTCAGTGCGGTAAGCTGCACACCGGGCAGTGTAGACAGGGTTCGAGCGCATGTTATCATTGTGGGCAGACAGGATATTTTATTAGCCGGTGCCCGGGGTTAGGCAGAGGTGCACTAGCTCAGCCTTCAAGATCCACAGCAGCCTTTTTGCCCTTAGTCCGTGCTCCCCGAACAGGTCCACAGTCTACTCAGGGACGTGGTAGGGGGAGAGGTGGATGAGACCCCTTAGGTTCTAGTAGTGGCCAGAACCACTTTTATGCACTCACAGGCCGATAGGATTCAGAGGCATCCCTAGATGTTATCACAGGTATATTGACAATACATTCTCATGCCATTTATGCATTGATAGATCCCGACTCTACATTTCATATATTACTCCATTTATTGTTGGTAAGCTTGACATGAGATCTGAGTTGTTGCCACAGCCAGTTGAGGTGTCTATGCCAGTTGGCGACTCTATTGTTGCTAATCATGTCTATCGAGGTTGTATAGTGTTAATTAATGACCGTCCAACTTCTGTTGATTTAGTGGAATTGGTTATGCTAGACTTCGATGCCATTATGGGTATGGATTGGTTGGCAGCTTGTTATGCTAATATTGATTGTCGTGCAAAGTTGGTCCGATTTCATTTTCCAGGTGAGCCTGTCCTTGAATGGAAAGGTAATGCAGCCACGCCTAAAGGTAAGTTTATTTCATACCTTAGGGCTTGGAAGTTTATTGCTAAAGGTTGTATATACCATCTGATTCATGTCAGGGATATAGATAAGGAGCTAGCGACTCTTCAATCGGTTCCTATTTTGAATGAATTCCCGACGGTATTCCCTGACGATCTTCCAGGAATTCCCCCCGAAAGGGAAATCGATTTCGCTATAGATTTGCTTCCTGATACGTAGCCTATATCCATTCCTCCCTACAGAATGGCTCCTGCAGAGCTAAGGGAATTGAAGGAACAACTGAAGGACTTGCTCGATAAAGGCTTTATTAGGCCAAGTACATCCTCATGAGGTGCTCCGGTGCTCTTTGTTCGAAAGAAAGATGGCTCTTTGCGGATGTGTATTGACGACAGGCAACTAAATAAAGTCACTATCAAGAATAAGTATCCTCTTCCACGGATTGATGACTTGTTCGACCAGTTACAAGGTGCCAAATGCTTTTCGAAGATCGACTAGCAATCCAGTTATCATCAGCTACGAGTCAGGGATATTGATATCCCAAAAACAACATTTAGGACGAGGTATGGCCATTTTGAATTCCTTGTCATGTATTTTGGGCTTACAAATGCCCCAGCGGACTTTATAGATCTTATGAACCGGGTATTCAAACCATTCTTGGATGAATTTGTGATTGTGTTTATTGATGATATCTTGATATATTCACGATCGGAAGCCGAGCATGCGGATCACTTGCGAGCTGTATTGCGGACTCTCTAGGACTACATGTTATATGCTAAATTCTCTCAATGTGAATTTTGGCTAACTTCTGTAGCTTTTCTTGGTCATGTTATTACCAGCGATAGTATCAAGGTTGATGGCCAAAGGATTGAAGCTGTGATGACTTGGCCGAGGACCTTGAATCCGACAGAGGTTCATAGCTTTTTAGGCTTGGCAAGGTATTACCGAAGGTTTGTGGGAGGATTTTCCTCTATTTCTGCACCATTGACGAAGCTGACACATAAGGGAGCTAAGTTTCAGTGGACTGAGGCATGTGAACAAAGTTTTCAGGAGCTAAAGAAAAGGCTTACGACGACACCTATCTTGACTCTTCCGGATGGCACCGAGGGTTATGTTGTCTATTGTGATGCCTCGAGAATTGGCCTAGGTTGTGTTCTTATGCAGCATGGTAAGGTTATCGCGTACACCTCCAGACAGTTGCTAAAACATGAACAGAACTATCCTACGCACGATCTTGAGTTAGCCGCAGTTGTCTTCGCCCTAAAGATTTGGCGTCATTATCTATATGGGGTTCATATTGATGTTTTCACCGACCACCAGAGCCTTCAGTATTTATTTAAACAGAGGGAGCTGAACCTACGACAAAGAAGATGGCTAGAATTACTAAAGGACTATGATGTTGATATTTTATATCATCCCGGCAAAGCTAATATTGTTGCTGATGCCCTTAGCCGGAAGTCCATGGGCAGTCTAAGCCATGTTGAAGCTGATAAGGTCAAGATGACCAAATATCTATGCCAGCTAGCTAATTTGCAGGTGCGTTTGGTAGATGCAGAGGGTGGACGCATTCTCGTTCAGAATACAACAAAATCTTCTTTTGTTACTGAAGTGAAAGAGCGACAACACGAGGATCTTGAGCTTATAAAATTGAGGGAAAGTATTCCACAGCAGCGACAACCTTTATTTGAGCTAACTAGAGATGGAGTCCTTAGATACCAGGGCCGCTTATGTGTACCGACAGTCAGAGAGCTCCGCGTCAAGATTCTTTCGGAGGCCCATTATTCTAGATATGCAGTTCACCCTAGAGAGACAAAGATGTATCAGGACCTTCGACAGATCTATTGGTGTAATGGAATGAAAAAAGATATCGCAGAGATGGCAACCCAATGTCCTAACTGCCAGAAAGTTAAAGCCGAACATCAGAGGCCTGGAGGCCTAACTCAGTGTATTGAACTTCCATTATGGAAATGGGACACGATAAATATGGACTTCATCACCGGTTTGCCTCGCACTCCACGGAGGTATGATTCTATTTGGGTAGTTATTGATAGACTTACATAATCTGTTCATTTTCTGCCAGTCAGGACGACATATTCAGCCAAGGATTATGCCAAGCTTTACATTCGGGAGATTGTGCGCCTTCACGAGGTACCATTATCTATTATCTCTAATCGAGGGGCTCAATTTACAACACATTTTTGGAAATCTTTTCAGAAGGGTCTAGGCATGCAGGTAAATCTTAGCACAACTTTTCATCCGCAAACTGATGGACAGGCAGAGCGTACTATTCAGATAGTTGAGGATATGTTACGTGCTTGCGTGCTAGATTTTAAAGGAAGTTGGGATGATCATCTACCTCTTATTGAGTTCGCTTATAATAACAGCTTCCAAGCTAGTATTCAGATGGCCCCTTACGAAGCACTATACGGGCGGAAGTGTAGGTCGCCGATTGGTTGGTTCGAGGTCGGGGAAACAAAGTTGCTAGGTTCTAATTTAGTCCAGCAAGCAATGGAAAAGGTAAAACTTATTAGAGACCGTCTGCGTACACCACAACGTCGGCAGAAGTCTTATGCAGATGTTCGATGACGAGACTTAGAGTTTGATGTAGAAGATTGGGTTTTCTTGAAAGTATCGCCTATGAAGGGCGTCATGCGATTTGGAAAGAAGGGGAAGCTCAGCCCCAGGTATGTTGGACTGTATAAGATTATTCTGAGGATTGGTAGGGTGGCGTACGAGCTTGATTTGCCTTCAGAATTGGGAGCAGTCCATCCTGTGTTTCATGTATCTATGTTGCGGAAGTGCATTGGAGATCCTTCATGTATTACGCCCATTGAGGATATTCACATTGCTGAAGACTTATCTTACGTAGAGGTACCAATAGTTGTTTTAGATCGGCAAGTAAGAAAGCTTCGAACTAAAGAAGTGGCTTCCGTGAAAGTGTTATGGCGAAATAACAATATCGAGGAAATGACCTGGGAGGCTGAGGAGGAAATGAGGAAGAAGTACCCCTACCTATTTACGACTTAAGATGAGTCACATTTAAATAATTGGCAATTAATTCTTTACAACACTTAATTGGATTTTAAATGACAAGAAAGTACAATTTAAATTTCTTATTGCGAGATAGCTATACGAAGCCTATTAGTTGGAATCTTCAAAATTTTATTTATGCTTTGCAAATGTAACAAATATAGCCTCGCAAACAACATATTATCGGAAAAAAAATGAAACCAAGGAATTGACTTGACCCATTCACGGACGAATGTTCTTAAGGAGGGGAGACTGTGAGACCCCATGTATTTTTTTTATCTTCTCTTACGTAATATACGTAACGTGGCGGGGTTATATTAGGTATATACGATTGGGTATAGAACATTAGGAGAATAAGACTAAAAATGTGTGGTAATATCAAGGAACTAACTAAAGCTTTAGGTCAAAGGAATCCCTTAAACAAAGGTTCGTGGTTAAAGAAATGGCTCGGGTAGCACCCCGCGCATTCGGAAGGTTTAAGTTAACTTGCACCTATGGGATAAGACTAAGAGTGTCTAATATGCTAATAATAGTGTATTATAAGATATTATAATATCACACGGGTCACATGTTAAGTTTTGGAGTCAAGCAAGTTGCGAAATAAAGGTTGACAAAGGTTATCGTAAATTTCTCCAATAATTTTTCTAAACTTTGGGTCAAATGTATCAGATTATTTCTCCAAATATATAATGAGTCATGGGACACACAACCTATCAAATTGAAGTTCTACAAGTGTAGTTCGCAACCAAAAAAACCTCACATCAAACGGACAATGGAGTAAAAGGTTATGACTATTTTACCCCGGACTGTCCAGGCTGAAACCGGGTCGCGAACCGAGTCGGGTCAAACAAGTAGTATAAGTCGGAAAATCCGACTTGTAAGACCCCAAAACATTTCATTTTCGTCTCAAAACAGTGAGGGAGCTTAAGAGAGGGTTCCATGGTGTTCTTGAGTGATTAAGGTACGTTTTTAACGATTTCTACCGTTAAAGTTTGTCCCCGTTCCTAGAAACTCAATCTCTACGCTTTGCAATCATTTCCCCCCTTCTATTAGCTGTGTTTGGAGCTATTTTTGGAAGATAGGAATTTGTTGTTCTTGCTGGTTTTTCAGGCTTTATACTTGATTTTCCAAGGTAATCATCTTGGGACTCTTTTATGATCGTTTTTACAAAGTTCTACGGACGTTTCGTCAAGTTAGGGCCATATGGAAAATCTGCCGATTTAAACTTAATTATGAATTGTTTATATGTGCATATAAGCTGCATATATATAGTGTTTGCGAAGCTTAGTACGTAAGGAACAACTTTCGTGAAGGAATTACAGGCATTCAGATGTTCGTTGGAAAGGTATGTTAAGGCTAAGCTCCGTCCTTCCTTTTTGCACGAATTCTTGGAAATTCCTAAGACGTCAAATGTGATATTTTACTATTCTATTGCTAGAAAGACCTTCTGTGAAAGACATTGGGATCGTAGCTGAAGTATTTTCATGATGCTATTAGGTTGATATTCCACTCGTTCGGTTAATTAGGGTATTCGACATCTATATATGTCATTTTGTCGGTTTTCTTATCCATATGTCTATATATATGAATTCTTATTCGTCTTTGGGTTGTGTGACTAAACAAAATAAAGGCATGTAGTATTTACGATCAGTCCTTCTTCCTTGTTAAAGTATATTTTAAAATCTCTAAAGTGACACATCGATTTCCAAAAATCTCAAATATAAATTTTACGTTTAAACTATTAAAACACTTGATTTTTGATATACTTTCCTTTACTAATTATCAAGAAATCAGGTATAAGGACTAAGTGAAGCACCTTAAGCTTTTTATGAACATCTTCAGAATTAAGTTATCTTTCTAAAAATCGAGTTAAGTTTTCAAGCTTATTTAATCAAAGAAAACATATGAGGTTCCACAAGACAATTGTATGCGATACAAAGGTGATTATGAGATTATAAGAATAAGAGCACCAATGAGCCAAGATAGGCTAGGTTCTTGTTATGGCCTATTATGTGCATTCAAAGTTCATATCATACATGACATATTATGCATGGACTTCGAGCTATAATCGGAGGTAAGGGGCCTATTTGCCCGAAAAACTATATATATTGTACATATGGCCACAGGTTGGCAATATGATACCGGTTAGCTACCGGGAGAGACCTCCATTGCTAGCGTTTGGTTGGGTATGTCATGCATTTGCATCAATATATATGTATTCACGACATACGCTTACACGAGCATATTCTGCATAATTGATTACTATGAGGTCGAATGTCGGTCATGGAGGCTATAAGAGTTTCAGTGTCAGGTGGTTTCACTATTTTTTTTTCTACATCAGCTATGTATGATTCTACTTTCTGTCTTACATACCAATACATTTTTATTCGTACTGATGTCCCGTTTCCTGGGGACACTGCACTTTTGTTTCGTGCGTGCAGGTCCAGGTAGGGACTCTGATCGACCCCTCCGCTAGGATTTCGGGGTTCAACTGTGAGTTGGTAAGCTCCACCTCTTCCTGGAGCTTTCATATGATGGTTACTTTTGTGTACAGTTTGGGTATAGTCGGGGCCTTGTTCCGATAGTGCTTATTACACTCTTAGAGGCTATTGTGGACACAGTATTCTGGGTTTCTTTTTGTAGCTTTCAGTCTCTAGCCCATAGGCTTGGCATGTATATATATGTGCGTAGGCATGTATGTCTCCAATCGCGGCCTTGTCGGCGAGCTAGTACTTTATTATTTTGGCTCGTCTACCTTTGTTTATATGGCTTATTGTTACTCAGGTCATGACCTTAATGGTCCAGGCTTAGTATTTCTGATGTTGTGCTGCCCGATCTGTTGGGCCCCCAGTTTAGTTAGCTAGTATGTTTAGTGGCTAACTCGATCGAATGCACTGTCGAGTGCCAGTCGTGCCTCCCCTAGTTTGGGGCGTGACAACACCCTTCTTCATTTTTATTTCAATGATGCATTAAAGAGAGAAGTCTCAAAAGCCAGAAATGGAAATTGTTATCATTCACTTATTTAACTGGTCATGTCACAACCCAAAATCCATTAAAGGTCGTGGTGGCGCCGGACACCACTATCAGACAAGCCAACACCAAGGAGTTAATTAAATTCTCAAATTAGTATTTTTAAAACCATTTATTTTCCTTACATTAAACAATATATAATAAACTTCACTGAGTAAATAACGATGTCTTTAACAAATTGATTACTGAAAAATACCATAGTCATCCCGAAACCCGGTGTCACAAGTGCATGAGCAATTTTTAGGAATTTAAAACGTAATACAACAACTGTCCGGAATACAATTGGACAGAAAAGAAAATATAGTACAATACTCTAAAAGAGACTCTGCTGGCTGCGGATCGTCTCGAGAGGTGCAACTCGCCTGAGTCCTAGTATCAACCATGCCACTGTGCTAGACTAGGCCACTAGACTTATATGCGCCTGTGCAACAAAAATGCACAGCAAGTGTAGTATGAGTATGAAAACAACGTGTACTTAGTGAGTATCCCGTCTAATATCAAAGAAGTAGAGACGAAAGCTCGGCTTCGACACTTACTAGTGGTCCAATAGTAATATATTAATAATGCGAATAATCATGGATTTATTAATAACGGCAGTAAATTCAAGTAAGTTACGAAATAAGTAAATGAGTTTTTGGCAAAAATCATCCTTAAACTATGACTCAAACCAAGGGTACATCCTTGTCTTATCCTAGTAAACAAAAACCATCCTTACACTATTTAAAAAGTTGCAAGAATCATCCTTCCATTAAATTTTATCACAAAAACTAATTGCATCATCAACATACCATGTCCATCACGTGCCTTTTCCCCTCAATTTTCCAATATTGTCCCTCCTACCCAATCGACTTTTCCAAGAACGTGATGACCATCTTCTTTTTNNNNTGCTTATTTCTTCTTTAAATTTGCTGCTATTTAATGAACAAAAATGGCCTACACTGAAATAACTTCTCCTTAAGTTGTCTTCTTATAACAAGCAGATGATAACAAGAGATTGGCATGACCTTGAGGTGGAAGTGCATTATGATTATGTAAAATCTTATATTTGTACCGAGCTTTGATGAGGGTGCCGATTCTCTTTCTATCAGTTTTATTAGTCTACCTATAAATGAGAAAAATTAAAAGGTTCTAGCTCTTAATCAAGAACCTGAAAGTCCGAAACTAGATTAGTTCTCTTCCATTTGTCGGAGTGAGTGGTTTCACAATAGTTGAGCTAAACCGAAGTTGGAGTTACATTTTAAAAACAAACCTTGCATCATCACCTCAAATTAAAGATAGAATATCAAAATCTACCGTACGTACAGTGAAATACATGCTGCTGCTTAGAAAGTCAAAACTCTTCCACTATTTTTAAAGGCTTTGCACTTTCCTCTCCAAAAGGAAGTTAGCAAGAAATAGTATAGCATGAGATCAGAGAGTTCCAACTATCATACCATAGTTGGGTGTGAATTTCATATGAAAAGAAACTTCTAGTTTTGAAGTCTTAGTCCTTTTTGGCAAATGTGGAAGACGATTGGGTAGGAGGGACAATATTGGAAAATTGAGGGGAAAAGGCACGTGATGCACATGGTCTTTTGATGATGATGTTAGTTTTTGTGATAAAATTTAACGGAAGGATGATTCTTGTAACTTTTTAAATAGTATAAGGATGATTTTTGTTTACTAGAATAAGACAAGGATGTACCCTTGCTTTGAGCCATAATTTAAGGATGATTTTTGCCAAAAACTCTAAGTAAACATTCCTTCTTATATTAAGAAGTCTCCAAATTCATAATCTATTATTTACCAATTTATCTCAGACAAGGGAGGCAATGTCAGTTCATAAATCTAAAGCAAGCATTACAAGCCAGCGCAAAACATGCCGAGATCATACGGCCTGATCCAACAGGTATTTAAACTGTGCACTGCCAGAGGGTCGAATGACGCGAACCATAGATGCATCTATTTAATCTTCCGAGGCGTTCGAC